GTAGGGCAAAGATGAGGCTATCTGCTTCTGCAAAATCTTACAGTTTCAGAAACCCTATATAGGGTCGCTGTGAGTCAGAATCAACTTGATAGCAGTGGCTTGTTTGTGTATTTGCTTTGTCTTAATCCTAAAGAGCCGTGTTGCTCCCCACAAAGGCCTCCCGCAGGCCAAGGCAGCATTCTTCTATCAGTCTCTGAATACAGTAACCTGGGACCAAATAAATAAAAAGTCTTCTTGTTGATAGTGATAACCTCTACTTATTTATTTCAGTTTTCAAATTTGTCATTTGGAAGCTGAGTAGCAAGGAAGAGACAGGCCATAATTTAGACAACCATGACTTCTGTGAACACTGACAAATCATTTCCTTCTCTTTTGTTGTTGTTAAGTGCTGTGGAGTCAGTTCTGACCATAGAGACCATGTTATAGGGTTTCTGAGGCTATAAATAAATCTTTGCAGGAGCAGAAAACCTACTCTTTCTCCCATGGACCTTCTGGTGGGCTTGAACCACTGACCTTGTGGTTCACAGTCCAGTTCTTATGGAGTCACCTTGCTCCCCTCCTTCTCTGTACAACAGGGTTAATTCCATTTCTTTGCAGAATGCATTGAAAATGCCTGTTAAAAACCGGTGGTGGGTGTAAGCATTGCTCCTTGTTAATCCTGCCTCTCAGCTCCTTGTGTTAGAGAAAGGAGGGTATTTAACAATGCAACACTCTGTCTCCTGCTAAGGATAACTGCTTGATTTCTCTCATTGTTCAGAGCACTTCCTGAATTAGATTCATTTCTTTATATTCCATTTCTATCTTTTCAAGACAGCAATTTCCTTGACAAAAAAAATAAAACAAGACATGATACTCGTTAGCATATCAAAAGCTTCTTGTTTGAAAACCTGTTGTTTGGGAAAATGTTCTTTACAGTCTAGCGGTTAAGAGCCGAGCCATTGACTTGCCCTGCTCAAAAGCACTTTCAAGTTCGCCATGATCCCTCTGTTCCCCCCCATCAGCTTCATTAATGCCCACACGGAGGTGGAAGTCAGTTCAGGTGGTACCCACACAGAGCTCAGAAGTTCAGGGATTCTGAACAAAAGACAGTGGCAGGCAGCATTTACATTCCACTAAGAGCCAAAGCCCCTCTCAGTGGGAGGCTGTGGCCAACTCAGCAGATGTACGCACCATTTAGAACCCCCTGAGCCACTCTGGCTTCCTCCTAAGACAACTGCAGACAGGGCTCTGTGTTTGTTTCAGCACTGATTGAATAGGCAGTCCCATGGGGCACCCACCAATAGCATCCTGTGTGTGGATGTGTCTGCAGGTGTTACTGTGTTGATGCCTTCTTTGTACAGAGCAAATTTTCAGGAATGGAAATTTCAGCACAGAATTCAAATCAGTCTATACCAGGACCTCAGCAACAAAATGAAAACAGAGAAATGGTTCATGAAATGAGTTGTTGTTAGATGCTCTAGAGTCACTTCCTACTCACAGCTGATGAGTTTGAACTGATGGCCTGTGGTTAGCTGTCCAGTGCTGATCTCACAGCGCCACACCAGTATTTATTACTAGACGTGTAAAAGGAGCAGATAATCACTTCTGAATGCCCCGACAGCAAAGCAAACACATGTTAGATTTTATGCAGTAATTCTTGTTGATACAATAAAAAGGATGACAAAAACGAAAGCAAAATAATAATAATAATTATTGGCAAAGAGAAACATTTTCCTGGCAGAAAAATTGCAGGAAGATTTATTTCACAGGCTCTCCTGTTAGAGATACTAGATGACATAATGAACAACTGACACACATGTGTTCTTGAGGTGCTAGCTCCTCTGTAAAAAATGAAGGCATTGTAGGAAGTATAAATTTAGTGACGACTTTTCAACAGAGCAAATACATGTACTGTGCCCCTCTGTTAGGTTTTCTGCTTTTGCGATAGCACTAACTTGGTGGACCTCTGAGAACATATAGCAACGTGCCCATTGGGCCATTCCATCCTTTGGGTATATTCCATTCTTTGGTTTGTAAAGTTCACTGCTGATTCTCTCATTATCTGAGTGCATGCTGACTGCTGGTAAAGGAGGGATGCTAATCTGAGGGAGGCAGGCTTGGCATTCTACTTTGAAACCTTGGGACCCAGAGTCCAAAATGTGGATAATATCCCTTCCACACAGAGTTGGACTGAGGTGTCCTTCATCTGTTCACTCTTGAGCTGGATGCTGGACCCAGAACCTGGAAGAAAGTATTTTTGAATCAAGTATTTTTGATGGGAGGGTTGTATGAGGGACCAGGCAGCCTGGTGTTGGGTACACTGTCTGACCTGATTCAGTGCAGGGATTGGTGACATGGATAATAAGTGCCCAGCAGAAGTGGCCACTTCCACCTAGCCCTGCCTAGTGTTGCCACACAACAACACAGGCTGGAATATCCTGACTTCTAGGTTTTTAGGAGAGGCTGTAAATCTTGATTTTACATAAGATTTGATAACTTAAAAAAAAAAAAATTTTTTTTTTTTTTTTTTGCAGACCAAACCAATCTGGCTTCAGTTTAAGAGACTTTAGTTTGCAATCTCTTTTTAAAGAGTTTTTTTTTAAGAAGAAGTTTTATTGACCAACTATCTTAACCAGAAATAACCTCAGATTGGTTCAGTAGTTAACAACATTTCAGATTTTCAAGCAACTGAGTATTTTAAAAAAACAAGGTTAATTGACATTGGAGGTGGGAATGGCCAGCTTTTTTTCCATGTAACTGTTTAATTATTTCCTGTCTGCCTACAAGAATTCTCATTGTAGTATATGTAGTTGATGATAAGCTGATGTCTAGCAATGATTATTCAGTAGGTTCACTCTGTTGCTTAATTTAGCACTCTATTTGTGAGCCAGCACCATGGACAGTTACCATAGCTGCTGGCTGGTTCTAATTCTGGTATCTTTAACTCTTCATTGCACCGTGTGCTCAAGCTATGTGATTGTTTACATTTGTCTGGTCATCTTCCAAGCAAGAAGAATAGCAAAATTAATAATAGTATTTCTTGAATTCTTATGTATTATCTAATTTAATATATGTACAAGGAGGCTTCAAAAAGTTTGTGGAAAAATTCTATTATCTGTTCATTCTGTTTTTCTACAAACATTTTGAAGCCCCTTTATTATGTATATATTTCTTCTCACTGAGTCTTCAGAAAGTCGTATGAGGTAGGTATTATCATCACCAATGTCTTCATTATTCCTACTTCATAGGGTAGGATACACTAAGGTATCTTAGAAATAAATATTACATAATGTGTCCTGGTCACACAGTCAGTAGTAGGGTGTCCTGTTAGGAGCCCTAGTAGTGTAGTTGTTAAGCACTCAACTATAACAGAAAGGTTGGTGCAGTCTGCTCTCCATAAAAATTTGTCCCAATGGGGCAATTCTGCTATGTCCTATAGGGTCACTATGAGTTGTAATACGCTCGCCATCATGGGTTTGGTGTTTTGATTTCGGGGGCCCCAGACCCATGCAATCCAACTTAAAGCAGGCTTCCTCCTTGCCCAGGTCCCATCTGCATCACCAAGATTGACTTCTTTGTTCTTTGGGTTTTGATAAATAGACCTTCCTTTGAACCCTGCAGGGTCCTGAAATATGAGTGACAGATATAGCAGAGTGACAGATATAGCAGACAGATATAGAAACCTCAGGAATGGGCTGGTGTGCTCCCTTCTCACGCCGGTCATTCCACTGTGAATCATGGAAGAAGCCTCCTAAAATTGACAGTGAGTGTACCCTGGCTGCAGAGAGAGTCTGCTGCTTTCAGTGGTGCTCCAGGGGCATGTTCTTCATCTACAGTGTAGAGTGGAGCAAACCCTCTTGTCCTGTGTCAGGGTTGATGTTGTTAGGTGCCATCGAGTCGGTACCAACTCATAGCGACCTTATGCATAGAAGAACGAAACACTGTCCGATCCTGGGCCAACCTCACTACTGTTGTCACGCCTGAGTCCATCAATGTTGCCACTTGGCCAATCCATCTCATTAGGGGTCTTCCTCTTTTTCTCTGTTCCTCCACCTTACCAAACATGATAACCTTCTCCAGCGACTGGTCCCTCCTGACAATATGTCCACATTTCCCCATTTCCTGCTAGACAGAGGGAGGAGACCAGCTTCCTGCTTGTTAGTCAGACTGAATATTGGTTAATATAATCCATGTGTGGATGGTGATTAATACCATGTTACAGTCATTTTCTTAGTATCCAGTGTTTTCTATAATTATTAATATCATTAGCCTTAAGTGTAATTTTTTATTACTAAAGACCCTTTATCAAAGACCTATCCTAAAAGGCAATATCTTTTTCTTATTCATGGTTAAATCCGTGACAGCAATTTGGCAAAGGCTCAAAATTACCCTTGTTAACTTGTCTTTAATAGTAGTAGATTTCTATGTGTCTAAACCTCCAACACATGCATGCATGCCTGTTCGCTAGTTGCAGCTACATGCATTTAAGCACAGTGTTATTGGTGTGAAAGAAAGCATACAACATGAAAAATGTGAGTGTCCAGGAATTAGCATTGGAGTCTTTAACTCCTTCCAGAACAGCAGTGTTATAATATTGATAGTTCATTTCAGATAAGCAAAGTTCCTGGGTAGATTTGGCGGTGGGTTTCTTACTTTTCTAGTGAGTTGTAAAGATCTTCCCTAGAGTGGACATTAATGAATTAACACATTGGTTTTCCTGTTAAGGTATGGGTTTTCTCTGGACTCATCCAGGAAACAGGTAGACACATCAGAACAAGATTGAAACCCGTAGATATATCCATGATAGAACTTTGGTTGCATATCCTATTTTTCTATCCTGATCATTACAAACAAAAAATATAAAGGACAAAGAATACTTAGCATGCCATGCATTTGCATGTGTACACGATTGGTTCTGTGTACCTCATATGTATATGAATGCCTTCTGAATTTTGCATGTGTACAACGATAGGTTCTGTGTACCTCATACGTATATGAATGCCTTCTGAATTTTGTTTTAGACAATCCATGGACACAAGGGACCCATCACTGCAGTGGCTTTTGCTCCTGATGGACGATATCTGGCCACCTATTCCAATGCTGACAGCCACATTTCTTTCTGGCAGGTAAGTGAAGGCCGTTGCGTGGTGTGCTTTGGGTGGGAAAGGCCTCCTTTTGAGCCTGTTCACCTGCCTCCCTGCACCCTACACTTCTCCCACTGCCATCCTCCCTCCCTTCCTTCCACCAGCACCTAGTAGACAGAGTGCTTGCTGCTGATGTACACACAGAGTACTGAGTCCAGTGAGCCATTGGGACAGAGCGAGGGTCTGATCCCGCAGAGCTTCCAGTCTGGAGGAGATGCAGCTAAACAGCAATCACAGTCCACAGCAGAAGCTGAGAATGAGTTGTTTGGGAAGGCTGCCAGGAGAAGGGGCTCGAAGTTGAGACCTGAGATGCTCAGAAGAGACAGAGAGGAAGGGTGGGGAGAGGAGTGGGTGTTTAAGGTGAGGGAGCAGCAGGTGCAAGGATTCAGAGGTAAGCAAGGGCACAGTGTGTTTGCCAGTCTAGGGAGAAGGGGAAGCCCTGTCAAGCAGGGAATTCACATGGCTCTACTAACACAGTTGTGGATCAACATTGTCAATTCATGGGACATAGGGAAAAGAACGCAGCCCAGTAATAACTTCATGCTCTGTTCATGCTTTCCCGGTTTTATTTGCATTTTTGTACACTTGCCGCAGAATACTGTTAATTCCCAAACTATTTGCAACAGCTAAAAAGCATCTGACCATCTTTGGCTAGCAATTCATAGGAATGGGCGTACTTAATTCTGAGTAAAATACATATTAGTTTTGAGCAACTAATGTTTACAATAGAACTTGTGTTCACCTTCAATAATAAATCTCCATCACATCTTCTTTTTAACTAGCTCATATTTTAGTCTGATAAGGAGCCCAGGTAGTGCAGTGGGTTAAGTTCTGGAATGCTAACCAAAAGGTTGGTGGTTCAACCCCTCCACCCGTTCTAGGGGAGAAGGATGAGGCATTCTGCGCCACTGAATATGACAGTCTCAGAAGCCCTGTCCTGTGTGAGTCAGAAACCCTACAGGGCACTTCTCCTCTGTTCTAGACGGTTGCTATGAGTTGGAATTGACCTGGTGGCCATGGGTTGGGTTTTGTTTGTTTTACAGTCCTGATCATTTCTTAAAATGTAAACATCACCAATCCCCCCAAAAAGTTAACTTAAGAGTTTGTTGTTTGCTTTTCTTTCCAAGGCACAAGTCTGTTTTATAAGGTTCAGTTCATTCCTTTGACAGTTAAAAAAAAAAAAGAAAGAAAAGTTTAAACACGACTTCAGCACAACTAGATGATGGTTTAAAGAAATCAATAGCTAATAAAATGTAAAGCGGATACACTAAATTGCTTAATTAACAACATGCTATTAAGGCATGACAACTTCCAAATCTGTCCCAGACGTTTTCTTCTCTTCCTCCGATTTCGTCTTCCGGCTTGTGTTTTCCTTCTCCTTTCGTTCAGAATGTATCTTCAGCATCTTGACTAGCCCATATTAAACTCTCTTCCTCAGCCAACTCCCCTGGTCTTCACTTCCCCCAGTGGGTAACCACAACTCTTATTTTACACGACTAAAACCCCAGAATTAGTCCATTAGTTGACCATATATTGGACTCTTGCCACAAATCTTTCTTCAAAGTGTTTACCTGCAAATATTTTTTCTACTTAGCCTAACACAGTGGTCTCTAACACATCAACTTGTTGTTTGATTAAAAAAAAACAAAAACAACAAAAAAACACTTTTCCTTATTTTTGGTTCTCTTACATCTTTAAGGAAGCATTTATGTAAAGCTCCATTCAGTCAACATTTATTGAGTGCCTATGTGGAGTCCTGAGATAGCACTGTAGGTTAATGCACTGGACTGCAAGGTCGGGTTGAACTGCAAGGTCGGTGGTTCAAGCTCACCAGCCCAGTCTTCAAAGACCCTGTACAGGGTTGCTGTGTGTCTGAACTGACTCAGTGGCACTTAACAACAACAACAGTGTGAAGTCCTGGTGTGGTGCTGTAGGAAAAGCACTGGGCAACAAGGTCAGTTTGTAGATCCATGTGAATTCCCTGCTTGACAGGGCTTCCCCTCTCCCCAGACTGGCAAACACACTGTGCCCTTGTTTACCTCTGAATCCTTGCACCTGCTGCTCCCTCACCGTAAACACCCACTCCTCTCCCCACCCTTCCCTCTGTCCCTTCTCCTGAGCATCTTAGGTCTCAACTTCAAGTCCCTTGTCCTGCCAGCCTTCCCAATGCTCCTTGGAAACCCTATTACATGGTCACTGTGAGTAGAAACTGACTTTATGGCACTTAACAACAACAACAATGTGCTGAATGGAGACTTGGTGTGATGCTGCAGGGTAAAGCACTGGGCGGCAAGATAGGTTTGAATCGCAAGGTTGGCGGTTCAAACTCATCCATCAGCCACTCTTCGGAAATCCTTTACACGGTCTCTACTCGATGACACTTAACAACAGTAATTGCTCAGTGATCGCTCAGTGATTGCTCAGTGATAGCGCACTGCCTTCCACGCAGGTGACCCAGGTTCAATCCCCAACCAATACACTTCACGTACACCCACCACTTGCTTTTCGATGGAGGTTTGCATGTTGTGATACTGAACAGGTTTTCAGTGGAACTTTCAGACAAAGAAGGGCTAGGAAGAAAAGCCTGGCAATATACTTCTGAAAATCAGCAGTGGCAGCCCCAAGGATCCCAACCCATCCTGGAGACTGCAGCATTCCATTCCCTTGAGCACGGGGTCCCCATGGTTGGGGTGGACTCAGTGGCAACTAGTAAGTGCTTGGCACTGCCCTACACTTTGGAGGGGTGGATATCAACAAATCCTGGTTCCCTGCTTTTCATGAAGCTCGTGTTCGATCCCTGCGTTCTCCTCCCGAGTAAACAAAAGGGAATTATGATATTTATATAACGGACTGTGTTAGATATTTGCCAGATTTTACATCTTTTTCAGTACTTTCTAAGGGATGCACTTTTTGCCTAGATCATCAAAATTATTTTGGGGTCTTTTAAGCCCCTCCTTAAGTATTTTTCTGTTTTCACAAAAGTTTCCACCTTGATCCTTGATGGAAGTTTGGCTAACAGCCTTTCTTAAGTTAGAGCTCATGATTATTTATTAGATGATATCTACCTTTGTTTTTGTTTTTAATCAGGCCTCTACCTTCAATCAGGAGTCCTGCTATGGCACTATAGGATAAGCACTGGACTGCTAATCACAAAATCAGCAGTTCAAACCCACCGTTCCCTCCTCAGAAACCATATACAAGGGTCACTATGTGTCGGAACCGACTCAACAGCACTTAACAATGACAACAACACCTTCAATCTTACTGTTAGTTGCATTTTGGTCCATTCTGACTCGTGGCATGAAGACTAGAACTGCTCCATAGGGTTTTGTGTGTGTTTTTTAATATTTTACTGTGTTTTGGGTTCGCCTTTCACAACAAATCTGGGTCCCCATTTAACAGCTTCTACACAGTTTGTTCAGTGATATTGATTATGTCGGCTTTCCCAGCATTTCCATTCTGGTTGTTCCATTTCCAGTCATCTAGTTTCCCTATGCCTTACCTTCTCATCTTTGCCTTAGAGTAAGTGTTGGCCATTTGGTCTAATGTAGAAGTTGTTTTTTATTATAGGATCACAGCACTCATAGGTGACATTGTTTATTTTTATGAGCCAATCTGTTATTTGGCTGGAAGATGATCTCATGGAATAGTTTTGGTTCAAGGTTTAAAGAGTATCTCAGGAAGATTGTCTTGGGGAGTCCTCTAGTTTCAACTGGCCCAGTAAGTCTGAACATTTTAAGAATGTGAGTTCTGTTTCACATTTTGTGCCCATTGCATCAGAATCCTTTGATTGTGTAATAGATCAAGACAACTGCCAGGCACCATCTTGCTCTTCTAGTCTCAAGTGTGGATGAAGTCGTGGTTTGTGCAGAATGTTAGTCCTATGGACTAGTTTCTTCTCTGAGTCTTTGCTTTCCTTCATTCTCATTTACTCTGGATGTGTAGAGACAAATAACTGTATCTTAGTTGGCTATTCACAAGCTTGTAAGACCCCAGCTGCTACTCATCAAACTAGAACTGTGGAACATAACCTTTACATACTATCTTATGCCAGTTGACCAAGTTAGCCCTCGAGACTATGGTGCTAGCCTTCAGACCCTGTAAAGGCATCCCATGAGGTGTCTAATAATAAGTATCTGTGTTTGGGCACCCTATAGATAATAGCTTTTGGGGAGCCACCTCTTTCCATCTCCCAGCTACCCTCTGTAGGGTCCTGTCATCTCTTTGTCATGGTTTTGCCAAGTGCATTTAAACCTCTGTGCCTGCACACATAGCTTTATGCAGAGTGGGCATGCCATTCCTTGGTCCATAAGCTCATGTGCTCTGAGGGTGATTTTTGTTAACAACACACATTCAGAACAAGGGTACCAATGCCACTAGGGCAGCACCAAATCTTTACTGCCTCTCAAACCAGTGTCGGAACTAAAATGCAGCCTAGTTCTTGCATGCTTAAATGGAACTTTGCGTGGTCTTGAAATTTAAGGAGAAGGCCCAGAAATGTATCACTTCATCTTTATCACTAAAATGCAATAAAGCCCCTGCCCGGAGTATAATGATCATATTGTAGTTGACAGAGTTGAAAGTACTGCTGCTGTCCCCAAATAGACTTTGCTGATTTATTTAGATAACTGTTGTTTGGTTCTAATGATGTATGATAATACTTCTGTATTATTCCAGTAAGTGTACTGTAATATATTTTGAAAACTTTAATGAAGTCTTATTAATACAGACCCTTACTAGAGCTATCAGCTATTAAAATCTTTGCTGAGAAATGAGTGTTAATGAGAAATATTGGTTGGATAATTACTCAAGTGAGACTTAGTAAAAGGTTTGTGCAAGGCATCACTTAGAATGAGAATAGCTTTAAACCATTTCCTCTTATTTGATAAATCATGCCTATATGTGTTCAAAAAAAAAAAAAAAACAATCTTCGTCGTATTGGTTTTGTGAAGCATTATTTTTAAAGAGCAGAGAAAAGCCAAAGCTGCATTTTAGTTTGTTTACACACTCAGCTATTTTTTTGAACATTTTATTGTGTTTTAGGTGAGAGTTTACACAGCAAATTAGTTTCCTGTTCAACAACTTATACACAATTTGTTCCATGGCATTGGTTGTGCCCCCACAGCGTGTCAGCATCTTTCCCATAGCCACCCTGCCTTTGTCGTTTCCGACCCTCCAATTTTCCTGCCCCTCCTTGCTGTCTCATCTTTGTCCTTGGGCAAATATTGCCTGTTTGGGCTCATATTGTCGATTACTCTAAGGACCACATTCTTTGTAGTGTTGTTTTCTTTATAAACTAATTACTGTTATTTGGCTAAAAGAGGACCTTTGGGAGTGGTTTCCATTTCAGGCTAAGGGGTCCCTGAGGGTGATAGTTGGTGGTTCCTCCAACCTGTATCAGTCCAGGAAGGAGTCTGATCTTTTTTTTTTTTTTAATTAAATTGAGTTTTGTTCTACATGTTTCTCCCATTCTATTGTGTCCCTATTCAGAGTGGTAATCAGTAGTAGCCACACACTGTCTCCATCTCCACCGGGTTTGGTAATTCATTGCAAGGTCTACACTAAGCACTCCAGTTACGGGTTTTATCAGGTTGGCAGCAGATTACAATTCAGGAGCAGAAATGCTCAGATTTAGTTCTTCTCAGCCATGCCTGTCGGCAGTCCTTTGCCTGGTCCATGGACTATCAGCCACGTGGCCCCTTCACCTCTAGCCTGCTCCAGCAATGTTGCAAAATTCTTTTAGTTCTGCCAATATATGCCTTGCTCGTTTAAAGCAAAGAAGACTTAAAACATATACTGATGAAGATCAAAGAGCACAGCTTTCAGTATGGATTGCATCTCAATGTAAAGAAAAAAAAGATCCTCACCACTAGACCAATAAACAACATTCTTATCAACGGAGAAAAGATTGACGTTGTCCAGGACTTCATTCTTCTTGGATCAACTATCAACACTCACGAAAGCAGGAGTCAAGAGATCAGACGACGTATTCCATTAGGTAAATCTGCTACACAAGACCTTTTTAAAGTGTTGAAGAGCAAAGATGTCAGCTTGAGGGCTAAGATGTGCCTGATTCAAGCCATGGTATTTTCAATAACCTCATATGGATGCAAAAGGTGAACAGTGAATAAGGAAGACCATAGAAGAATTGATGCTTTTTGAGTTATGGTGTTGGAGGAAAATATTGAAAGTGCCATGGGCTGCCAAAAGAACCAACAGATCTGTGTTGGAAGAAGTGCGGCCAGAGTGCTCCTTGGAGGCCAAGATGGCCAAACTTTGTCTCTCATACTTTGGACATATTGTCAGGAGGGGCCAGTCACTGGAGAAGGATATCATGTTTGGTAATATGGATGGTCAGAGAAAAAGGGGAAGACTCCCAGCGAGATGGATTGGCCAGGTAGCAGCATCAATGGGCTCAAGCGTGGCAACAATTGTGAGGTTGGCCCAGAATCAGGCAGTGTTTCGTTCTGTTGTGCATGGGGTCACTATGAGTCTGTGTCATCTTGATGGTACCTAACAACAACAACAACCCCACATAGGTGCCATGTACCTTGTTTACATTCTTAGCAAGATATCCAGTCCCCTTGGTGGGCCAGAAACCTCTCACAATTGCATACTCCCCACACAGTCATTTGCTCAGAACTGCAAAGACTGGCTACAAAAGCCATATCAGGTAATCCGCTGCATCACAAATACTATTTAGTCATTAGCATGAAAAGATTGCCCTTGGCAACTGAGTGAAAAAGCACATTGTGAAACTGCCATTGCATATGAGGCAGTTACGTAGCCTCTGTGTGTGTGTGTGTGTGTGAGAGAGAGAGAGAGAGAGAGAGAGAGAGAGAGAGAGAGAGAGAGAAAATGAGAATGACATCTGTGTGTATCTGGAATGGTCTCCATCAAAACATTAACAGTGGTTGTCTCTGGAAGTGAGAAGTTAGTGGGACTTGGTTCCTTTCATTATTTGAATTTTCTACAGTGAGCATTTTTTTATTTTTGTAATCAGAAAAAAGTGAACATAACCAAAACTTAGAATTTGAGGTCGTTTACATGCATTCAGGGTTACAGTGTCTCTCACGTTAGCATAGTTTGCGGTCAGTGACTGGTCAAGAATGCATCAATATTGAATAACAAAGCGGTTCTTTCAGTGAAAGTTCTTTCCTGAGCTTACTAGGGGAAATGAATACTCACCGTTACTACTTCAGACTCATCCATAATTTGAAGAGGTTATGGGGAAACTGCTTATGATTCACATTGGGGTCTTCCAGCTGTATGCAACTGTAATTACTGTCTAGCGTATAGAACTTCACATAGCTCTCTTCTGAGGCAGGAGGCTGTTTAATCCTCCCAAAAGCACCTCTCAACGTCAGGATGGATTAGGTTGTTAGGAGAACCCAGAAACAAAAACAGCCTTAATTTTTATTTTCCACCCTTTCCATCTATAGGAGCCCTGGTGTAGTGGGTTACACATAGGGCTGCTAACCACAAGGTCAGCAGTTCAAATCCACCAGGTGCTCCACAGGAGAAAGATGAGGCTTTCTGCACCCATAAAGATTTACAGCCTTGGAATCCTTATACAGAGTTGCTATGAGTTGGAATTGACTCAATGGCACACCACCACCACCACAATGTCTCTATATAAAGAACCCTGGTAGCATAGTGGTTTACAAATTGGGCTGCTAACTGCAAGGTCAACAGTTCGAATCCACCATGAGCTCCTCAGGAGAGAAAGATGAGGCTTTCTATTCTTGTTTACATTTGCAGCTTCAGAAACTCATACAGGGTTGCTATGAGCTGGTACTGACTCCACAGCACATAACCACCACCACCATAGCATTCCCAAAAGGTATTGTCTCCCTGGCCCCCATTAGCCCTTAGCTTACCCACCCATCCTGTGCACAGGTACATCTAAAGGAAAGACTCAAAAACAGGGAAGTGTCTGGGCTTATTGGATGCCTGTAGCATTTTGAGCCACCAGCAGAAATCAAGCCTCATGCATATTATCAAAGAAAATCTATAAAGGATGAAAAATACTTTGTAGTTATTTATCAACTGAAAAATTATATTTTGAAAAAGCTCAGTATGCCTTTGATGTCAATTAATTTTAACCAGCAATTTTCTGGACCATTTGGAGCTAGTCCGCGAAGGACAAAATTATTATGTACTGTTACTTTTTGTAGACGTGAGAGCTATCCAATCAAGCTCGCCATCATCATTTATATTTAAGCTATCTGGGAACCTCCAGAAAGCAATAAGGCATTGATTTTTTTTTTTTTTTTTTAATATTTTATGGAGTTTTTGGGAACAGGAAGGAAGAAAGCACAGGATAACAGTAAGATCCTGCCTGCTTTCAAGCATTTATTCAACTTCAGCAGAAAGAGTTAACTATAACCATAGATTTGGTTTTAAAGTGTGACCTCGTACACTAGTGATTTTTTTCACCTCTGTGTTGTGTTCGGCACTATTATTAATGCAGGAAAATCAGTAACATTAGTCATCTTAAAAGGGTTATTACTCAAGATGATTTAAATTGTGAAAATGTCAGTGGAGCCTACACGCAGCCTGCTAGAGATGCCGTGATTTACGCCCGCTGACACCCTGCTTCTGCCGAAGGGGTAGCGGACAGTCTGTACTGATCCGAATGCAGAGCAGTAACCCATTGTGAGTGTCCTACAGTTACCAAGACTTCCTGTGCCCCCACTGTCCACCGAGTCGCAGTCTGTGTCCGCCACACAAACCCCGCAGGCCAGAGCCATTTAGAGGGAGATGTGAAGGCAGAGAGGAGGGTTGGAAATTAAAACGATCACAAAGAAAACATCCTATTTCTGAGGATTCTGGGCTGGGTTTCAGTATACATTCCATGCAATGGGGAACCACACAGGTGATGTGTATGGAAACCATTTAGGGTTCTGTTTCGTGTTGTTGAGAATTGAATAGGTTCTTCAGACTCCAGTGCTCAGATAATGTTCACTTGGTCAACATCCAAGATTCAGTACTTTGACCTGAATGTGTAGTTGTTCATGATTTATAATTTCCATATCATTTTTCCACTTATGTGAATAGATTAAGAAAGAGGAACTGTCCATCAGAAATACCAACCCATAAAAAAATCTTTGTCAATGAAGTATTAAAAGTATACTTAACCCATCAAAGTGATGAGTCACAGAGAGAGTTGAATTGCACTTGGTGTGCATTTCCCTTGAAAAAGGAGCAAGATGCAGGGTCTTTTTAAAAGCAGGTGAGGAGTGATGGAGTTGGGGTAGATGGGGGTAACAGTGATCCAGGAACTTACCACTCTCAGCATTGTTGTCAAGAAGCTAAAGTCTGCGTTGTCGAATGCCCGCACTTGGTTGGTATTGCTGACGTATTTGATTAGCATCCACCATTGAGCCTCCCTCCTGAAAGATGGTTGGACTCTCCTGTCATGTTCTGCCCCGGAAGTGAAATTCCTCAGTATTTAAGCATCAGAACAAGTCCATCCTAAGGACCCCGTTGTTGTTGTTAGCTGCTGCTGAGTCAGCCCCCTGCACAATGGAACAAAACACTGTCTGGCCCTGCCCCAGCCCCACCCTGAGTTGCTGTTCAGACAGTTTTGCTCCAAAGGCTTTTCAATGGCTGATTTTTTCAAGTCGATTACCTGGTCTTTCTTCCTAAGCAACACTTTAGGCATTAAAAATAAACTCTCTGTTGAGTCTGAATAACCTCCTCGGGAAGGAGGAAGTGATGGTAAGTGCGCGTCCTGAACCCATCTGTATTGGTAAAAAAGAACCAGCTCTTTAAACACACATGTGCTGCCCTTCCTGTCTCCCCCAGATGAACACCTCGCTCCTGGGAAGCATTGGCATGCTGAATTCGGCCCCGCAGCTGCGCTGTATCAAAACCTACCAGGTGCCCCCGGTGCAACCTGCCTCCCCGGGCTCCCACAATGCCCTCCGACTGGCCCGCCTCATCTGGACTTCCAACCGCAACGTCATCCTCATGGCGCATGACGGCAAGGAGCACCGCTTCGTGGTCTGAGGCGCCCGGCCGACCGCTGCTGGAGCTGCCCTGACACCTCTCAGTCCTCTTTCTTCCCTGGCTCGGAGCGTGCCTCACTGCCTCCCCACTACCTTACCACCTCTGCTTGGTCCTAAGGCAGACCTGCTTGTGCCACCCACTGATTAGAGCATGCACACACAGCTCCACCGGATGTGGCCACCCTGTCACTGTGGTTTTCTCCTGCAGGACACAGGAGGGGCAAGGAGGCAGTCCCTGGGCATGCTCTGGTTGCTTGGCGCACAAGACACCCGGAAGTCAGTCAACACTGTGGTTTACTCACAGCTCAGGCCTGCTTTCCCAGGACCCACCCCACCCCGGAAGTGCTGCTGGAGCTGGGCTTCCGGCGTTGGGGGTTAAAATATGGTGGCTGTCCTAATGATCGAAATTCTTTCCTTTTGGGTTTTCTAAACCATACAGTTGTTTACCAACAAGCTTCCATGTTTACATGTTTTGGGTTTTGGTTTTGGTTTTTCCCTTCCAATGATGGCTAGGGAAATTACTCCACCTAATTTCTTAAGAGTTGAGCCACGACCTTGCTTATTAACAACCTGATAATTTGAGATAAATGAGAAAATAGCAAAGAAAAATACTTTGCTTCTGGAGAAGTCACCTAGTCTTCTGAAGTGCCCATAGCCTGCGTGATAGTGATTTTAGTAATTTTAAGTAAAGATCATCTATCCTTGTGATTTAGATAATATAATTAGCCAGTCAGTATAGCTAGTGTCTTAAGGAAGCATGGAGTACACCTTGGAAGAAGGCTCTCGTATCTCTTGCTGCAGATGTTTTGGTTTAAGATAGAGTCTACCCTTCTTCCCCCAGAAACAGTATGAAGCTGCAATCCCATATGTATGACATGTGTCAGTTACCATGTAATCATTACAGGTCAGCCTTCAAACTACTCGTGATCGATTAAAGGGAAATGAAGAAGGCATTTCTTTTAAACAAGTGTCCTAGAAAGTCAGTGAATGTGGCACATGCTTTCAAGAACATATATACAATGTGAGAGCTCTCCATCAATTTATTGGAACAAACATTGCAATGAGGGTGTTCATCCTGCTTTGAAGTAAGCTTTAACTAGGTTACTGCTTTCTCCTTGTGTCAAGCTATGCTGAGTCTTACTCATGATACTAGGGAAAAAATCCACAAAGTGATAATTTGTATGAATTGTTACCAACAAACTAATCTGTATATAATTTGAGGATTTGGTTTAGTTCCTTATTGATTGGTTGGTTAGTTGGGCAAATACGTTATTAAATTCAACACCAGAAAAATGACTTCTTGAATTCAGAGAAGATGGGCAAAGTTTACAGAGTGAACTAAAATGCAGCATTTAATATTTTTTAAAAAAACAACACATGAATTGTCAAGTTTATGGGATACACAGAAAAGCAGGGCCACCATCCAGGAACATCAGCTGTGATTTCCCGGATGCAGGAGTTTTTAGATCTTTAAAGACGTTATGAAGCAGTGAAGACCTTAATCAGAACTCCTCTTTCCTACTGATATGAAGTGCGCTGTTTCCGTTGGTGGCAGATCAGTACTAATCCCTGGCTTTAGACCTCAGGTGTTCGATCCAAAGTGAATGTATGCCACATGCATGTGCACTGTATTTATAAAGATAACTATGTGTCATTTCCAATGAAGAAACAAAGAACAGCATGGCGGACATGCTGCTGTGTTTATAGAGACACAGAAGTGTGTGTAAAGTAGAGGTGCACTTTGATTTTTCGCTAGCTTCCCTAAGTCGTCTCTGTACTCAGCACATGTTTATTTTATATGCTGGCTACAGAGCATTAATTTATTCTAGAATACAAAGCTATTGTGGAGTTAGGAGGTAAAAATGTACCATAGACACTCTCTTTCATGGAAAACAAAGTTTTCATTGCATCAGAAAGAAAGGTGTGGGAGCAGAGGCAGGTGCCCACAAACTCCCATGAGCCACACACTGTGGAGATATAGAGCAAAGCTGTGAGAACCAGAGGAGCCACACACAGGGCCGCGTGAGGAGTGCAGGCCAGCCCTTCACACACTGTCTACAGACAGTGCAGGTGACTGGCCAGTAGGACAGACGTTGTAACTGAAACTCTCGTGTGGTATTGAATAGCTAGACAGACACCTCTAACAGCTAAACTCATATTTGCATTCTTGTTCATACAGATCTCTCCTCAGCCCCCAAACTTCTTCACAGCTTAAATTTCTCAGCACTGAGGTAAACTTTGTGTTGTCACCCCGTGTATGCGCTTAGTGTTTTATTGACTTTGTTGGCACTGTATTTGGACGTGTCCTTGTGAACGTAGAGATGTGCGTGGCTTCATTGGTAATTTACAAGCAAAAGATGACATGACATGACACTTGTATGAAAATGTTGTAATGATTGAAGTTACTGTGTACAGCGAGCAAATTAAAATGCCTCTCAAGACCTTTCTGGATGATTCCACTTAATAGATTCTCCATGTACTAACTGTCCCCGTGTGTTAAATAAAAACGAATTGGACTGAAGGTTGTTTTTCATATATGATTGCTTTTTCCATTGTTTACTCTTCTTAAGCATCCTCAGTTGAAATCTGCATGTTCTTTCCCCCTCTTTTTGGTGCCAAATTAAAGTCCCCGAGTCTCATTATTCATTTTCTTGGAGAGCTAGCTTCAAAAAAGGGAAGCTTGTCCACAAAGGACCGGAAGCAGGGAAGTCTCTCTTCAATACTGCAGAAATGGGAGAGCTCCAGCTAGACCGCCTACCAGAAACTCAACAGCACCCTCTGTGGTTTGGGCAAGGGAATTGTACCCTGAGCTGCTCCTACATAGACTGTTAATTGTACCAAATTATATCTTGTAAGATTTGATGACATAGGTCGGTTGCCCCATGGGTACTACGTGAGATCATTAAATCCATTTCGTTTAATACCCAGTTTGGAATGGAATTTGAATCCCTGAGGTAAAGGGTGTGATTGGTTTTCAGAAACAGCAAGAATAGCAAAATAGGTCATCATTGCTCACAGAGGATTACGTGCAAGTAGGAAATGTACTTTTTAAAATTTTCGGATCAGAAGATAGAACCACATGAATTGAATCAATCATCAGGTCACAGCGTAATGGTCTATAAGAGAAACATCAAGGCATTGAATGAAGCAGCATCCTTGGCTTAAATCAAGGGCCCAGAATGTCAGATCAGGGATTGCTGTAACGTCGGTGATGCCTTCAGTGTATCCTTATAGGGAAATCGGGGCAGTCACAGTTCTGTATGATTGGTGATCACAGAAACTGATCAAATGTGGAAAGGGCATGACATTAATAGGAAGGTAAAGCCAAGCAGTGCTGGGTGAACTTTCACCTCTCACCCCTTCGGCTGACTGACAGAGCTGAGTGTTGAAGAAAATCAATACTTTGGAGCCAGGAGGGAAATATTTCCAACCTCTAACTAGAGAATGTATTTTGACAAGGCCAAGATAATCCAAGCTGCACTGGAGAAAGAGAAAAGAAGACTCATTTTTAAAGCTTGACACTTCAAGGCAGTTTTGTACAATGGTTTTGAGATCGTCAATATACACAAATACCAAAGGTCAAAAAGAAAAGCCAGGAGAATTTCAAAAATTAGATGTTTACATCTAATTTTTCTTTTGCTGTTTACAAGCCAAGACAAGACAGAAAGTCTTGTGTTTATAATTTTCATGTAAATGAGCTGAACTCGTGGTTGTGTGTTTGAGGTTATCCGTCCTTCTCTTAATCAAGTGTTAACCGGAGGGAGCATCACTATGGATGCGGAATGGCTGAGAAGATGTTCAGGCTTCTTGTTGCTGCTGAATTTCTTAGACAGGAGTGGTTATATCACATTGTGCTTCCATCTCAGAATTGTGTTTTGTGATTCATGTTTGCCCTGCCATGTGGCACCCTAAAGCTTAGACCCTCCTTCACATTTAGTTCAATTGTTTGCATCAGGAACGCATTCAGGTACCTCTGAAACTTGAATCACTTCTGGTTCCCATACTCCCTGTAAGCAAATTACTTGTACGAGTATTCTAATTAGTGTCCTTCTAAGCGAAAGGCTTAAGCCATTCTTACCAGCAAGATTAGATCCATTCATTCTGCAGACAGATACCTCCATCAAATGGTTATGGATTTTCTTTCCTACAGATAAGAAAAACAAGAAGTCGAATGGTGCCCCACCTTTCCGCCAACCTCAGAAGGACAAAGGAATCCTGAGTGCTTTACAGATCGAAAGTACCCC